GAATGAGATATTTAAAATCATTTTTTTCTTCTTTTGTAAAATTAGAAAAACTGTAGTTGACCCCTTTTCAAAATGACCAATTCAAATATAAGAAAATATTAATTTTTGATGGTGTTGGGATTTTTTGATAAGCAGTATATTTGGAACATACCAAATTATCTTTGTAAGCGCAAATCAAATTCAAATACGAAAATACCTTTTTATTATCAATTTACATCTTTACATCCGTTTAATGTTGTCGGCGAATGCCAAAATTAAAAAAAAAATGATTTAATTAGAACAACATCGCTAATTTTGTTGTTCAGGTAATTAATTGTGGCATCCCACATTAAATAATTTGCATTTGATCAGAATATTTAAACCTCACAGCGTGATACAGGTTGTATGTTTTTTTGGGTATTTATATAAAATACGGATTTACCAATCTAAAAATCTAAAAATATTGACTTGATTTAATTATTAACAATATGAGATTTTATCAATTTCAAATACCTTCTTTGCCTTCTTATACAAGATGTTATCAAATCCGCTACCCACATATCACAAATTTAGTTTCTTATATAAAATGATATAGAGATACCTCCTATTATTTATTATACCTGTAAAATAAAATATTATAAGAAGTGAAATGAATCTGGGACAGATAAGAACAAGTAAATTTGCGGATACGATACATTTGCCGACATCTCCTAATTTTTCGAATAATATTAAAATTTAAGTTGAGGACATATCCCTATTAATGGGATACCTGCTAATGCCTACTAATAATGGATAATTGAGACACACGTCGAATAATGAAAAAAACTACAATTTTTGGTTTACTTAAATAAATGTATCGTGTCTGCAAATTTACTTGTCCGCATCTGTCCCGACACGAGTGAAATATGAAAAAAATTCAAGAAAAATTTAAAAATTTTGAAATTTTTTTTTATGAATAATACAGTTCAAAATAAAGCTACATTAATTTTTTTTTATCTATTCATTTGCCTAAGTTATTAGTTTTTTAAAATATATGACGTCACCGGGAATAGACCAATAGGAAATAGCCACACAACGTTGCCAGTTAGACGGTATACGAAAAGTAATATACGTTCGTTTGTATGCACCGTCTTACTTTTAGACTTCTAAAATATCGTTAAACAAATATATTTTGAATATAAAATATCAAATGTTTTTAAAAGTATTATTTATGTTTAAACTTTTATAATTTCATTGTTTTAAAAAACGACAACTAATAAACAAGAAAATGGCAATGAGACAGCACTGCATGTGTCATCTGTCAATCAAGAATTTGTGTGTTGTGTCAATCGATAATGATTTAATTTTGATGTTTTTATAAATATTATGAGTACGAAAAAAATGTTTCCTCTCAAGATGTGATAATGATTTACATTTTACATTTAATATTAAAAATATTTATTAGTGTTGCTAGAAATATAAAATTAAGAAAATTATTAATATTACAGCAACAGCTAAATTATTTTGAGGTTTGTATCTATACTCTATTAAAATGAAAATGTTTCATTGTAATTTATTAGACTTCAATTGTAGTAACGATGTTTTTTCTTTTTTTAGATACCAGATGCTTTTAAAAACTGTTTTTTTTAAGTGATAAACCTTTACATATAAGAAGTGGGTAGTACCACACAAATGTCTCCACCTTTCTTGTTATTCACCACACAAGAGCCAGCTCACTGATTCTACCAAAAAAAAAGAAAACAGAAAAATGTCTTCTAAAAAGTTGACTGGAAAATAACCTTCTGCTAGAGGGGTTTTTCATCTCTATTTAATAAAAATACACCGAATCTTCAAGATGCAGCAGCAATTTCTGACATTGCCCCCTTTCTCTTTCAGGAAATTTAAAATGAGCCTACTATAAGTTCGAAGATGTATATCCTAAAACCCTTTCTGCAAGAACCTCCCTCGGAACCTCCTGAAATTTTTAAAGATAGTGAAGTTTTATCTGAATCAGAAAAAACATCTTTAATGTCTGATTCAGAGGGACTTAATAATAATGAGCAGGATCTTCAAAACTAATGAACTCTCAAAGTAATTGAAAATAAACCGAAGGTATATTTAGGATTGCCCAAGAGTGTTTTTATAATTCTCAATGATATTTATGAGAAGGAAAGTGTAGCTTACATAAACCTTTTACATTTCTGTGTGAATAATGGTATTGTTAACAAGAACTCATTTTGTAAGACTAAATACCTAATAATTTAGTAAACTGTTTAATTGTTTTTTTATTAATTTATCACATTTCAGAGATTAAAATACTTGTATATAAACAAAAATATAAAATCTGTGAAAATATTATTTATTAACCTATTATTAAAAAATAAAAGTACCTGAATAAGATAAACGAAGTAAAAAACTCTTTATTTACAAATAATAAAAAATTAATACACAAGCTCTGACAATAATGGAGATGCACAAATTAAAATTTTCTCTAAAGATTCATTATCAAATTCAACTTATCAACCTTATTATTAACTTTAAATGTAGAGAAAAAATGCAACATACTTTATGTTCATGTGTAATTATTCCGTTTACTGTGCAAATATCTCCTTTTCTCAAGTTATTAATGGAAAATCGCATTATCTTGATATACTGGCTTAGTAGAGCTAAAAATAATAAAATATTTAATAAAGTAATGATTTTTTTTTTTATTTTCAAGGGTACATTTTTATGGATTTCTATTTTTTCAATTTTTATTACTTTTCTGTGTTCCAAATTATTTCATAAAATATAAACATAATTGTGTTTTTATTATTTCAATTTAGCAATATTATCGTAGATTTATTCATGTAAATACTAGACATGTGTATAATAGTTGTAACAGATAGGGTTTGTATATTTACAAAACGTCGTCGTTCATAAACAAAAATGTACTTAAATTACAATTATTTACAGTGACATGTAGCAAGTAAGTAATACTCGACCAACTAAATATAATATTACAGTAAATACATATTCATTACCCTTCTAAATAGTTTAAGATGTTATTTTGTTTTAACTTTTGAGTTAGGCAAATTGTATAAACTCGTTTTATACAATAACAATTGCTATTTCTCAGGTGGTACATAATTATACTTTTACTTCTAATTATAGAAATAATACCAACAGCACAGCTTTAAACGTCGCTCTCTTGCTCAAATTAGAGATTGGCCCTTGTTGCTCCAAGGTACAGATATATCGTCCCAATTTCTAGTGTTATATTTGTGGTAATCAGTGTAAGTTAATATATGTATAAGAAAAATATATTTTTCTTTTACATATAAATGAGGTAAAGGGTAAAGGTAATATGTTTAGTTTTGAAAAACTGTTACTGTTTGACAATCCTAATGACCTGAGTTAAATATGTTTTTACTATGAGGTGTATTGCTCCATATAAACTGTAACTACTATTAAAACAAATTATAAATAAAGTGTTACATACCTTTCTGTCTTAACATGCTTAACTTTGGCACTTATAAACTAAGTATTGTTAAAAAATTGCAGTAATCCTATCTGGTTCACAATGGGTAAAACACATGAATCAGCTTTTTTAAATCCTGCTTATTTTAATAATAAAATTAACCAATTAGCAAAAACAAAATAAATCGAAAATTGAGAAAAAGTATACAAAACAACAACGAATGTTAGGTGGTCTAGGTGGTGTCAATTTTAAGTGTCACTAAGATGTGCGTTCACTTCGACATTCTATGTATCGGTTTGTTTGTTAGCTTGGTTCTGTATAAGAAAAAAAAAAACGACACAAGCTGTTTGGTCTATTCTCGATGACGTACACATTTCAAATTTTAAATTTAAATTGGTTTTCATTTAAAAACTTTTGGCTTTTTTAACGAATTGATTATTTAGAATAACTTATATAGCGACTATTACAATATAATTTATAAAACAGCATATCTTACATGTGAACATGGCCCATTTGTATAAAATTTTTCTGTGGACCACTTCATATTAAAAAACCATTATTAATCAGTACTTCAATAATTTAGTTTCTTTATTTTGTAGTGAATGCTAGACATTTGCGACAATAGCAGTTCTTTATTTTGTGTTCAAAGTTTTTTTCCTTTTCTATTTATATCTAACTTTACAGATTAGGGTAATTCATTTCCCCAAAAGTTTTTTTTTTCGGTGCTCAAGCAAAATATTAATCTACATATAGAAAAAAAAATCTCACCAAGTTTGAGCTCTTAAATCTTAAGTGCGCACGCGGGGGCATTAAGTGCTCCGTTTTCAGTAAAAGAGACATAACTTATTTGATTGGTCCTAATATTGCCGCCACGCCCATCTAAGCTAACACTAGGATGTGCAGTGCCTGTTAGTGTTGTAAATATCCGTATCTTCTTAGTATTCGGATAATACGTATTCAGAACCAAAAGATATTCGGATTCATCATCCGGATACGTATCCATATTCCATATTTGAGAAATCATAATAATACGCAACCGTAAATACACCGCGACATGGGGAATCGGAACCGGGCAGTGTGCCAACCGTAGCAGAATTTATGTTTGACAGTGAAGTAGCAGCTTTTAATGTTTTAGAATTATAAACTCAAGAAAATCTCAAATATTTTGTTTTTATAATAATATCAGAAATAACATTTCTCATTCACTGAATATTATTTATATTTATACAACTTTGTTACCATTAATATGCTTAGTACATGCCGACTAACCGACTACGAATTGCAACAAGGTTAGTTAGGGCGATTCCGAATTCCGATTTCGCTTCGGTTGCCACCCGCAAATCCCACAATCGGCTCTGTTATGAACACAGTAAATGAAGCATTCGATTCGTGTATTCGGATTTCAGATTTTGTTTCTATCCTTTTTGATTCCGAATCCGTATTCGAATTTACACATTGATTCCGGAATATCCGGATCCTTTTACTATTCGGATTCAACGGATTTTTGGATACGTATTCTTACATCACTAGTGCCTGTACTAGCATTTGTGAGTAGTTTAAATAAGGGTGCCTTGAGATATGGATGTACATGAAGCAGGCTGTTCCGAAGGTGCACAAAGTGCTCCGGCGCGACCACTTATGTAAGTATTATATTTTTATTATTTGTTCATATTATTTTTCTAAAATAGTGTTTGATAAACAGTATAAAATATTTTTGCACGGTCCGAAATTGTTGGTTACAGTTTTTTTATGGTAATAAAATATTGTTATCTATTATTATTTCCAGGGAACCGAGAAATGCGAATAAACTGACCGATGCAGGACTAGCTTATTATTTGGAGAATGATGGAGATGACATTGGTTCTGCAAGAGAGACTGACACCTACTGTATTGAATCTGAAGATTCCGAAGAAGAAATTCTTCATGAGAGTGAGCTTGATAGTGGCTCAGAACAAAGCGTGGATCAGAATGTGGAGGAATCTGATGACGAAAATATGGTTGACTCTGACGACGAAAATATGGATGATCAAGACTTTTTTCTTGGAAGGGACAAACTAAATTGTATAAAAATCCAATTATTTCTAAATTTAGTAAAATTGGGGCTCAAAACATCATCAAAATTTTACCTGGACCAACACGTATTGCAAGAGATATTTCTGATGAATCTACTGCTTTTCAAAAATTTATAGATGCCCAATTGATTGATTACATACGTATGAACACTAACGTATACGTTCGAAATTACCAAACTCCCAAATATGGAAGACAAAGGGACGCCAAGGAAGTTACAAAAGCTGAACTGCTGGCATTTTTAGGCTTACTTTATCTTGCTGGAGTTAAAAAGGCAAATCACACTAATTTCCAAGAGCTATGGACAGATGATGGCACTGGCATCGAAATTTTTCGCGGCTGCGTGAGCTACAAAAGATTTCTATTTCTTTTGGGTAGCACTAGGTTTGATGATAAGGTGACAAGATCTGACAGACGCAAAATAGACAAATTAGCCCCAATTCGATCTACTTTAGATATGTTTGTAGATAATTGTAAAAAAAGCTATTGTGTTGAGGAATTCGTAACAATAGATGAGAAACTAGAACCATTACGAGGCCGTTGCAGCTTCATTCAATACATACCAAATAAACCCGCCAAATATGGTATCAAGATTTTTGCAATGTGCGACTCCAAAACATATTATACGCATAATCTAGAAATTTATTGTGGAAAACAACCAGATGGACCCTATGCAAACTCAAATACTCCGACATTGTGCGTAGGTTGTTAGAACCAGTAAAAGGAAAGAATCGTAATTTGACATGCGATAATTGGTATACTAGCATACCACTTGCAGAAGTTCTTTTTAAGGATAAAATAACACTGGTAGGTACATTGAAAAAGAACAAAAGAGAAATTCCCCCTAAATTTTTGCCAAATAAAAACAAGATTGTGAAAAGTTCAATGTTTGGATTTCAAAAAAATATAACCATGGTATCTTATGCCACGAAAAAAAAATAAAGGAGTTATTCTAATTTCCACAATGCATAATGACGCTGCAATGGACCAAGAAACAAATAAACCAGAAGTAATCGCCTTCTACAACTCAACCAAAGGAGGAATTGATACAGTAGATCAATTGTGCAACTCATATTCTGTTTCAGGAAGAACTAGAAGGTGGTCTTTAGCTGTATTTTTTTCCACTGCTGAATGTAGCAGGAATTAACGCCCAAATTATCTATAATGCCTCTCATTCCCAGTCACCACAACTAAGGAGAATATTTTTGAAAAACCTGTCTTTGAATTTGATGAAACCGCATCTAAGAGAACGAGCTACAATTTTTTCGCTACCGACGAACATAAAATCACCTCTGTCAAAATATAGAGTTGAAGAAGAGGTCCAAGAAAATATTCCAGAAGAAAAACGTAGTGGTCGCTGTTGGTTTTGCCCGAAAACAAAAAGGATCAACACCACGATAAAATGTAGTACTTGTCGGAAATTCCCTTGTAAAAAACATATTGACATCAGGTATACTTGCCAAAATTGTTCAAGACTAACTGGCAGATACCTGAATTTCTAAAATATATTTTTATTATTTTTTTTTATAGAATTGATTTTATTTTATTTCTTTGACTACATTTTTCTTTTATGTTTTTTTTGTTGTTTTGTAATAGGAATAAAGTTACCTGAGTATATATTTTATTTTGATATTACATAAGAAATATATTTTTTTTTTGATGTTATGCATTTTTTTTGTTAGAATGTAAGTATGCTAAATAAAAATAAAAAGTATACATCTATAACATTTTGAATCATATTACAACATTGAACGTAAAGTGCACAAAGTGCTCCCCGCGACTACTTATGTAAAAAAAGTTGGCGCTCCTACTTAAGGGTTAATATCAATTTTAAGTACTTACTATTTAAATTTAAAATGCATGTAAATTTTTTTTAATTTCTGATGCTTACCCACCTTTTACAATAATGCAAATCGATTTGATGGACCTTGTGGGGAATTTCATGCTTTTCGAAATTGCTTGAGAGTTTTTTGTGTAACTCGCACTGGTTTCCCAGAAGGAGTCGTCAAAGTACAGTTTTTGAAAAAAAAAATTTTATTTTAATTTTTTTGAGCAAATTGCCAAAAGTAGAGAGAGGAAAGGACTGACTCAAAAATCTGACCAATATTTAATGAATTTACAGCCATTTGTATACCTGAAAACCTAAAAAATTGATAAATACTAACTCATAATGTTATTTAGATTAATTCTTTCTATTGAATACCATTATATTTCCCTACACTAAGAACTTTTTTAGAATTATTTCTTACTCATAATGAATATAATTTCGCAGAGCGTAAAATTCCCCACAAGGTCCATCAAACCGATTTGCAATATTGTAAATAGTGGGTAAGCATTATAAATTAAAAAAAAATATATTTTTTTTCATGCATTTTAAAAGGTAAAACTTTAAATTTAAATAGTAAGTACTTTAAATTGATATTAAGAGCTCAAACTTGGTGAGAATTTTTTTTTCTATGTGTAGATTAATATTTTGCTTGAACACCGAAAAAAAATTTTTTTTGCGGAAATGAATCACCCTAATACAGATATATTTAAATATAACTGTGATATTTTTTTCCAGAATTCAAATATAATAATATTGATTTCCAACTGTAAACGTATTGAAAAAAATATGGTGAAAATAAACACAAAATCGCCGAAGCATGACATTTTTGTTTAGGTATTTTCATTTAATTGGTCCGGAAATATTTTCGTTCTTTATTGTACGATAAAAACATTCAGTAAAAAAACAATATACGTTATTATATATTTTTATAAACTTTTTCGTGCTATTGATCCCTCAGTCGTAAATAATAACAATTATATTTTTGAAACAATACAATTTAAATTAAATTAACATTTAATTTAAATCGCCTTACGTCTGAGAATTGAACCCTGTAATAAAAGTTTGTTTATGTATTAAACTAAATATACATGGTGTCCCAAAATTGCTAAGACATAGATTTATCACGTATTGTAGAGGCGTTAAAATAGGTCGATTGGGCCTACTTTATTCTTATATTAAAATGTCCGTGAGAAAAAAAGTGAACAAATGTTTAAAAACATTTACTGTCAATAATAAACTATGATGATTATGAATTAGTTTCCGGTCAAAATCATGATTTCTTTTGTTTTTGGGTCCACGGCTAACTAAATTTTGTGCTACAATTATTAAACTTATACTAAGAATGTCAGTGCGTTTGAGAAAATATTTTTTCTTTGAAACTATGAGAAACACGGATTATTTACAACACTACAAAAAATTAAGATGATCAGTAAGCCTCTCGTTAAAAAAGTGTTACCACATCTAAAAAAATTAAAAAAACAAACAGGAGGTGAGGTTTGTTTTAAGTAGGGTTGCCAGACGTAACGCTTTAGGCGTATTTGACTTGCTTGTACGCTTTTGACAAAAATGCCACTCTTTTTTTGCAAATGCCATGCTTTTTAATATTCAAAGCCGGATTTATATAAAAATATAAGGTAAAATATAAGCTGAGGATCTGTTTTTTTTTAGAAATTCCATAAAGAATGGATCTGATTATATAAAAATACTTGGTATTTAAACCTGATGCTCTGTCATTATGGTTCTCACGCTATTTACTTTCATAAATCTGGCAACCCTAGTTTTAACTCTTCTACACTTTCTTGAATTACTAAAAGTAGGGTAATTCTCTAAATTATACTTTTGTTAATTTTCATTAAATTTTCATTGTTTTAGGATTACTATTGAAGTTATTTATTTTTTTTGTGAAAAATGCTTCAACCAATAAGCGTCAAAATAGTGTTACAAAGAATAAAATAAAAAATTATTTATACGTTTTAGAAAGATTTGATTTCATAATTTTCTTAAATTACTGAGGCCCTTCCTATGAGGCCTCAGTATTGCATTCGTGCAGACGAACAAATTTTCTTACCCCCATTTTTTAAAACATTTTTTCATGTTTCCGATCATTGTACGTCCGAAACTGCAAAAAAAAATTTTCACCTGTTCGTCTGTGTGTATGTATGCCAGCACGATAACTCTAGAACGAAAGTTCTGATTAATTTGCCGTTTTGGTTTTCTTGAATAATTACTTCTAACTTAGAACCCTATTGATTTTTATAATTTTCGGTTTATCCTAACTACTTTAATATCAATTTTCTTAAAATCCGCATATGCATTTCTTATGTGACAATTTTAGGAATTCCAATTATTTCTAACGTCAACATTCCTAACATTCTTAAAATTCCATAAATTTCAAACATTCTCTAATGACCTGTCAAACAACAGCTGTTGATAGTAAAGGTGACATTTCTAAGGCGGGTTGCGACCTTCATAGTTGCAACCATAGCCATTTTGGATGCTATTTTTATTCGAAATTAGTAGCCAAGCCTGCCAATTTATAAAAAATATACAAGCAATTTCTTAAAAATTACTTTTTTATGGTGGTGCTAACTTAAGCGTACTACTATTTCGCCCCTAGCCACAAAAACACTTTCAAATTTACTGGTTCTCTGTCGCAACGCCATAAAATAATTAACCGGTCATTTTATTTGGCAAAAATCAGTGCCTGTCAAGTATCAAGATGTCAACTGTGATGTATGAATGGCTCTTAAATATCAAATTATTTAAAAATGTATACTTCTTTTGATATTTATTGCAAATAATTTGTAGTGTATCTCAATTCAGGCTTTCCATAAATAAAGGTACAGCAAGACAGATAATATAATGTTCTTATACAAAGCACTTTCTTATTATATAAAAGAGAGGTAGGATATAATGCTGGTTTTTTATGTAGAAATTTTTTATTATACGATTTTAAATTACATATTCAACCAGCGAATTGTAAATAATAATTAGTAAACTTCTAGTCATAAATTTCCTCAATAAATAAAAT